AAAATCCACGAAATCTTTTTAGAAAATCCGCGAACTTTTTTTTGATTTTATTAACAATGTATGATGTATAAAAAGAGAAAATGTTCACAATTGAAATAGAAGATAGGCGCGAAGTGACCTGAAAGCCTAGCATGCTCTTTAAGGTCTAAATATTTTCATAAACCTGAAGTCCAGATAATGAACTAATTTCTAAAAATAATTATCAATTTATTTCCTTCTAATCATACATTTATGTTGTGTATTCTATCCTTTTATCCTTCTTATCCTTCTATCCTTCTATCCTTCTGTCCACCTATCCTTCTATCCATCCATCCATCCATCCATCCATCCACCTATCCACCTATCCACCTATCCACCTACCCTTCTATCTATCTATCCATCTATCCACCTATCCTTCTATCTTTCTATCCTTCTATCCTTCTATCCATCTATCCTTTTATCCTCCTATTCTTGTATTTTTCTGTCCTTCTATCCTTCTATCCTTCTACCCTTCTATCCTCCTATCCTTCTATCCTTATATCCATCTATCCTTCTATCCTTCTATCCTTCTATTCTTCTATCCTTCTATCCTTCTATCCTTCTATCCTTCTATCCTTCTATACTCCTATCCTGAGTACAATGAACTCTGTAGAATGATATTAAGTGCACTTTACTGCAAATTCTGAGTTATTAAATCCCTTTCATGCCTTTACCTTGCACAATTTTCAGTTGTAACTTAAACATGGAGTTCTAAAGGGACTACAGATGAATTTTATCTATGTTACCTTGTACACAATGAATCTGAGATGCATGCTTATAGACAACAGACAACAGACAACAGACAACAGACAACAGCCATGTTTGCTTTAATTCTGCAATATTCTGACCAAAGACATTCACTAAAACGATTTTTAAAAACGATTACAAAATCGATTTTCATTTTGAAAAATCGTTTTGAGTAATATCTTTGATAACAGAAAAAATTCGCATAGTGTAAGTGTAAGCAAACTTATCAAGAATACAATTTAATCAACATCTTAGTGAAACACTTGCAACGTCAAAAAAAAACCTAAACGAAACTAAACAAATGCTTAGCTGTATTTATAATTACATACATCATTCAGTTTTAGAGAACAGTTATCGTTCTCTATATTTTCATGAATGCAAAAAAAGTTTTCTGAAAAATGTGTCACAATTTAAATATTGTAAAAAAATTTGTTCATCTATGATGATTCTTTTCAAATAATTTATTTTTCTACAGAGCCATCGTAAGAATTTATAGAATGTCGTCTTGACATTTTTTTAATGGGTTTTTATACTTTTATACCTAAATCTCAGTAATTGTAAAAATAAATAAGTAGCCACGAAATACGAAGAAACAGTTTTGAAAAGCTCGATCCAATAATTCAATTTAAAAATAGCATTACATTATTCATAGGTTCAGACAATTAACATTTTATAAATTCTTTCGATATCTAAGAAGTTCTGGTTTAAACTGTATATTTCATGTATTCAAAAATAAATTCTAACAATGTGTCACAATTCATAAACTATGAAAATTTTGTTTATCTAGGAGAATACGTATATAGATGTTAATATTATTCTCAAGTACACCAATTGTGGTGGGAAAATTATTTGCTTTGCTACAGGGTGTCCCACGAAACATGACAGTTGGTAAATAGTTTTGAATGTCGTCTTCCATACACTGTATTATATATTAAAGGCTGTTTGCAGTTTGTTTCGTTTAAAAAATCTTTTGCTCAAATATGTTTTACTTTGAACTTAATTGTACTATGCTATAACTCCTACATAATATTTTTATAATTGTCTTTGGTAAATTAAACAACTTAACAAATTATGGAAGAAGACATTCTAAATTATCTACCAACTGTCATGTTTCGTGGGACACCCCATGTATTACATTTGGTAAAATGCCATTATTTGTAAAAAATGGTAACGCGCATAAATATTACTTTCAAGCGGCATTTTTAATAGTCTAGAGAGTCTAAAAATGTGGTTTCTATCCTGAGTACAATGAACTCTGTAGAATGATATTAAGTGCACTTTACTGCAAATTCTGAGTTATTAAATCCCTTTCATGCCTTTACCTTGCACAATTTTCAGTTGTAACTTAAACATGGAGTTCTAAAGGGACTACAGATGAATTTTATCTATGTTACCTTGTACACAATGAATCTGAGATGCATGCTTATAGACAACAGACAACAGACAACAGACAACAGACAACAGCCATGTTTGCTTTAATTCTGCAATATTCTGACCAAAGACATTCACTAAAACGATTTTTAAAAACGATTACAAAATCGATTTTCATTTTGAAAAATCGTTTTGAGTAATATCTTTGATAACAGAAAAAATTCGCATAGTGTAAGTGTAAGCAAACTTATCAAGAATACAATTTAATCAACATCTTAGTGAAACACTTGCAACGTCAAAAAAAAACCTAAACGAAACTAAACAAATGCTTAGCTGTATTTATAATTACATACATCATTCAGTTTTAGAGAACAGTTATCGTTCTCTATATTTTCATGAATGCAAAAAAAGTTTTCTGAAAAATGTGTCACAATTTAAATATTGTAAAAAAATTTGTTCATCTATGATGATTCTTTTCAAATAATTTATTTTTCTACAGAGCCATCGTAAGAATTTATAGAATGTCGTCTTGACATTTTTTTAATGGGTTTTTATACTTTTATACCTAAATCTCAGTAATTGTAAAAATAAATAAGTAGCCACGAAATACGAAGAAACAGTTTTGAAAAGCTCGATCCAATAATTCAATTTAAAAATAGCATTACATTATTCATAGGTTCAGACAATTAACATTTTATAAATTCTTTCGATATCTAAGAAGTTCTGGTTTAAACTGTATATTTCATGTATTCAAAAATAAATTCTAACAATGTGTCACAATTCATAAACTATGAAAATTTTGTTTATCTAGGAGAATACGTATATAGATGTTAATATTATTCTCAAGTACACCAATTGTGGTGGGAAAATTATTTGCTTTGCTACAGGGTGTCCCACGAAACATGACAGTTGGTAAATAGTTTTGAATGTCGTCTTCCATACACTGTATTATATATTAAAAGCTGTTTGCAGTTTGTTTCGTTTAAAAAATCTTTTGCTCAAATATGTTTTACTTTGAACTTAATTGTACTATGCTATAACTCCTACATAATATTTTTATAATTGTCTTTGGTAAATTAAACAACTTAACAAATTATGGAAGAAGACATTCTAAATTATCTACCAACTGTCATGTTTCGTGGGACACCCCATGTATTACATTTGGTAAAATGCCATTATTTGTAAAAAATGGTAACGCGCATAAATATTACTTTCATGCGGCATTTTTAATAGTCTAGAGAGTCTAAAAATGTGGTTTCCCAATTTTAAATCTTCAACATTGACGGAGATATTGACAAATTTAATTTTATGAAATAAATCAACATTTTTATAATACATAATATCTAATATCTCTGTAAATTTTTAAGACACCGGCAGGTAGACACGGTTATATCTTTCTCTATGCATTTAATAATTAAAATCAAAGACGACTTTCAAGTCGTCTCTCAAATCTCAATATAGACTTTTTGCATTATATAGGAAAACCATTATAATAAAAAGATTAAAAAACCGGCTGAGCAGTGCTGAAAGTAAAAATGATAATTTTAAAAATTCAAGCCTTTTTTCTTTTTATGCTCTCAGTTCTAAATGAGAAAAGTAAAATAAAGAATTTCCCAGAAAGGATGAGACTGTAAAGACTACCTGAAATTCTTTAAATATGACGATCCAGTGGGTAAATTAAGTTTTGAAGATAGTATTTTTATTGCCTCTTAAATGATTTCGCAAAGAAAGAAAGAAGTTTACAGTTGCAGAGAATCATAAATGTTAGGAAAAAGACAGATAATTAAAATCCGTACAGTCGTCTCTGAAGCCTCATCCGTTGTAGGTAACCATGAATCTAAATTCTAGGGGAGGGTAAGGCTGGGCAAAGTTCCGTTAACGAAATGGAGGTTTTCGAAAATTGACGGAAGAATGAACGTCAAAACCGTTAATTTTTAGATCGTTAACGAAACGGATTAGCCGTTTTTAAAAGAAAAAAATTACGATTGAAAATGAAAACTAAAGGGATGGGTTTTTAAAAACGGCAACTTTTTTTTTTTGGGGGGGGTCNATATACAATTTGTCACTGAATTCCCATGTATTTTGGGACACCCTGTACTTGGTAAGTATAGGAGTCAGATGACATTGCTCATCATCTTTTTTTGAAAATGTCTGGCGAGACTCTTCTTTTTTATCCAGTAGCAGATTATGCTTTACCTTTCACCATTGAATTTTGTCATTTTTATTTAAACAAAATAACATTTTCTGGAAGAAAAATTGGAATACGATATTTTAATTTATCTCGTCTAGATCAGATGACTATTTAATTGATAATGGCTCTTGATTACTGCAAAGCACGTTTTATAACTTTATTATGATAAAAAAGGGGAGAAACCATGTTTTTTCGCATTATTATATTTACGGAAAAAAAACTAAGTAACGAAAATAACTTAGATGCAAAAACTATATTAATTCTTTACAACTTTTACCCCTTGATTTATCTAACATTTTCTCATATTTTTTCGTCTTTACACTTTACAGGAATTACGTAAACAAATGTATTTTTACTGTCGTATTTTGCTGCAACGCCCGGCCCCCTCTCTCCCTACCAGCTCCACTCCCTTATACCACCCACATTATCATCAAAATCGGTACGATGGCAGGGGACCCGATCACTTTTCGTCGCTTTTTTACCCCCCCCCCCCCCCCTCCTCCCACCTGTCAATGCGCACGCCACTACTATGCAAACCTCATCCATCGTGGTTTGACCGACATGGTCCAAGTCTGACCCGCGGGGACAGCACAGGAAAAGGGGGGGGGAGGGGCGAATTCAATATTTCGTCGCTTATTTTGATATGAAATATTGACCATTAAGTTTCCGGTCATCTTGGAGACTCAAGTGGGTTCAGTTTAGCTCCGATAGCCTTGGATACTATTGATCAGAAAACTGAGAAGCTAGTTCCAGTATGGATGAGTTAATTAGGTTTACGAATAACTTAAAACCCATTTCTCCGGAGTCACTGAAGAGCCTTTTCCCCGAAAAAGACCTTAAAAATATCCGGGATCTGAAACATTTTCCGGCCTTATCTCAGATCAGTCCTGGATTCATTCTAGAATACAAACTGGAGATCAGTCCTGGATATTCTCCGGAGTTCAAGGTAGAATATCCTCCCGGGAATCCTGGTTTCAATTCTAAGTTCCTAACCCCTAAACTCAATCGTGATATCGTTCCAGCTAAAAGGTTGGAAAGTGCCTTTGGTTCATCCTTATCTCGGGTATCTCCCGATGCAAAGCCAAGCCTTGTGATTAAGGAAGAGCCAATATCTGAGCCTTTAAAACCAAGAAGAAAGGGTTCCAGGTCTAAGGATATCCTGGAGACAGGCCAAGGGAAGAGAAGCTGCAGGATATGTGGAGAACAGGCAACGGGAACACATTACAAGTAACTTTTTACTTTAATCACTTTGTATTTTCTCTACCCTATTCATTTATTGGGGCCATTTTATCGTCCCGTCTTGTCCCTTTATTGCTACTGTTGTATGTCCCAATATGGAAAACCGTCTTTCAGATGTTTTTAATATCTTCATTAAATATAAAACTACCAGGTCATGGTTGGGTTTGGATTCATTAAATATAAAACTACCAGGTCATGGTTGGGTTTGGATTTAAAAACATGTCTCAAACGATTTCTGATCTATTGGGTGCAATTGATTTGAATTAATCGCTTCGAAAATAAAGTTATATGATCATAGTTAATCATAGTTTTTTAGCGGAAAATTATGTTCAAATCTTTAAAAGTTGTTTATTTTATTTTAGAACTTAAAATAGTTTATTTGAATCACCTTTCTTTATTTATCTTTTATTAAACAATGAAAGGTTTTCATCAAGAGGATTCAACTTGTATTTAGAGTGCTGGCCTGTGAGGGATGTAAGAGTTTCTGGAAGCGAACCATACAACGTGGAGCTTCTCACCTGTATAGGTGTAGAGCTGGAACCCTAGACTGTCCAGTATATACAGGCACCCGGAGCAGATGCCAACAATGCAGGTTACAAACAAACTGATTACTCGGCACAAACTCGAAACCTTCTCATCCTTATATTTTTGCAACATGCTGTCGTAGATCAATATTTTAAACTAAAAATTTGGCTTAATCAAATGGTCATAGTTTGAAATACCGAAGATTTACAACGATCGGTTGAAAAGGATTAGAAAATTAGAGATTATGGCAAGTAATCAATCCACTAGAAAAAATTTAAATAAGGGAAAAGATATCAATTTTTCCCAGTAATCTTTTTTTCAACAAGATAAATAAACGAATAAAAATGGGCTGTAAGAAAAATTTTTTTGAATTTTTTCATGGCTGTTTCTTAAATTCAACAGTTCTCAACTTTATCCTTTTTATTCTGAATTGTTGGTAACTGATGGTTTCTCCAGGTACCTAGCATGTGTAAGAGCAGGGATGGTGGCAGACCGTGTTATGTCGGATAAAGAACGGAAACTACGACAGAGACTGGTTGTGCAGAAGACGGAGAAACGGAAACGGGACGGAGATATCCCGTCTCCGCCAGAGCTGAAGACGGAGGGTATAATCCGCCTTCATGATCAAGAAACCTTGGTCATGTTTCATATAATTTACAACAAAGTATTCGGGTTCACTCCCAAAGATAATTTCGGTAAGGACCATAGAAAATTCCATTGAAAATTTCAAATTTTATAAATGTTACAGATACACCTGATGGAAACAAAATTATTCCTAACTAGCTCTTAGTTAATCAATGATTCATCCTTTTCCTCTTTTATTCGTTGCCAACTTTCATCTCTGTACGAATTCGTATTCTAGTTATTTTAGGAGAGTATAAAAACAGTTTGATTTTCATTCGTGAACTTTACAAACTCTTTAACATTGAACAAGAGAGAGGTTTGGGTCATATTGATCCTGCAGCTCAGAACCAGGTTTTCTTTATGCGTCTAGCATTCACTAGAGATCTAAACCAGCTCCGGGTCTTCCCTCCACTACACAAGATCTCCAAGTAAGTATCTTTATCTACAGGGTGTCCCAAAAAACATGGGAATTCAGTGACTAATTCGATATCGTCTTTATTATGAATTAGCACTGTAATACCTAATTTCAAAAGCCATAATATAATTATGTCTGCTAGAGTTTAATTTATGAAAACTGTAAATGACTGTAAAGATCTGTCAATAATGTATCCGCAAGATGAACGTGAAGACGGTCATGTTTACTCTGTTTGTATACTGTAATTTTCTTGTTTTATACAACCGTATGCAGTCAAAGCATAAACAAACAAAATGTGAACATAGCAGACGAAACTCTTACAGATTACAGCTTTCTCAGTATACTAAATCAAAGGATTATTTCAAAAGACGATATCGAATTCGTCACTGAATTCCCATGTTTATTGGGACACCCTGTATTTTAATCTACAAAACCGCTCAGAATGATATCGAGTGTTTAAAACTTGTCCTCAGAACTCCATGATTTCGCAACAAATCTTACCATTAATTTGTTCAGATTTCTGCAGAGTAGGAGATTTGGAATAGTAGAGTTTGTTCAATGTGTCAGTTTAGCGGTCACTCGGCCCCGCCTCTCCTGGCCAAACAAACGGAGGGGTCAACTCACAGCGGCTTGGAAAGCGGTAACAAGAGTGGTTGAAACTCAGTATCCCACTGGAGAACCTACTCGGAACATAGGGTTCGGAACCCTGATTCAATTCGTGCATATGAGTGCTTACATCTCCAATATGTTGGAGATAACCCAGGTTCTAAACTACCTCGGAGTGTCTCCAAGATTGGCGTAGAGCAGAGATTTATCCGATATCTGTAAAACATTTTATTTATCCTGTCTAGGATTGATCATGCAGTAAATACCACAGAAATATAGTTGAATTTTTCTGTATAATAACGGAAATTGTAAATAAAATAATATAATTTAACATAATGAATAGTTTCATTTTTAATACTCATCATCCTACAAATCTAAAGTTTTCATTTTTTAATGCTCATTATCCTACAAACCTAAAAGTTTTCATTTTTCAAATCTCATCATCCTACAAACCTAAAAGTTTTCATTTTTTAATGCTCATCATCCTACAAACCTAAAAGTTTTCATTTTTTAATGCTCATCATCCTACAAACTTAAAAGTTTTCATTTTTTAATACTCATCATCCTACAAACCTAAAGTTTTTATTTTTTGATGCTCATCATCTTACAAACCTAAAAGTTTTCATATTGGTTTGTATATTAACTCACCTCATCCTAAAAGTGACTAAATGCAGGGTGTCCCACGGGCTGCGAAACATGATAGTTGGTGAAAAGTTTTGAATGTCTTCTTTCATATACTGTATTAGATATTGAAGAATTTTTGTAGTTCATTTTGTTAAAAAAAATCTCTTACTCAAATATATTTTTCGTTGAAATTAATTTTACTTTATGATATGACTCCCATACAATATTTTATATTATTCTCTTTGGAATCAAACAATTTAACAAATAATGGAAGAAGACATTTTAAACCATTCACCAACTGTCGTGTTTTGTGGGACACCCTGTACTAATGTGGGCCAAACTTGTAGTTGGAAGACGACATTTCATGTCCCAAGTATTTTAGAATAATATTGCGGGGCCCTTATAGTCTGTTAGTACTGAGTGTACTGAGTGTACAGTACTAAATTAACTGGACTCCATTTGTTTACAGACTTCTAGCACTTCTTGTGTGAAATTACGAAATACATAGTAAATGTTAAAACACGATAGCACAAAAACTATAATACAGTGCTTATATACAGATTAGTGTAACATACCTGATGTGCATTATGCATAATTGTTATCGAAAATTCATAATTTCTTATGATACAAATAAGCAAAGCTGTACAGAGAGAAACAAACACCTCAGATTGTTATATCCAGAATCTGCATTAAAAGGGATTTTAATAGTTAGTGACAAGAAATTAACAACAGATTTCTTTATTAGGCCCATCTTAAGTGAAGAAAATAACATTATTGTGTAATGAATTTCTTGACCAGACGATTGTTATTAACTTTTAGTAATTTTTCTACCAGTGTTCAGTTTTCAACTTTTTAATTTGAAACGAACATCTGCATGCATAGAGAATAGAATATATAGAGAGGAATTTAATGGAAAAAAGTGTAAAACGGCCATTTTGTTGTACTGTTTCCATACTGCAGGTGTACTTCACATATTTATGCTATATAACCTTTTGGGCCCTGGAATATCATTTTATTGAAAATCTAAAATTATTGTTAAAAGAAAACCAAATTATGAAATAGGCTGGTTTCATAATTGACCAATGATCATTTCACACAGACTCTATGCCTTCCACTTTACAAACGATGATTTTCCTTTATAACTATAAATCAAATGATGTTTTTATTCAACTAATTCATTATAAAGTTTATTTAACAGTTTAAAAAATTCGAAATTGAAATGGATAGTCTAGGGAACATACTGTATTAATGTACTCTACTTCATATAATTTGTGAACATTTACATGATTTGTACACTTTGAACTCCCTTTCAGGCTGAAAGGGACTGGAAAAATTCATACTGAGAGATTCTTTTAATTCCTCTCTATATATTGTATTCTCTATGTCTGCATGATTAAAAATTAAATGAATATATTCTTATATTAAATGCTTTGTTTTCTACTTCAAATTCTAATTTACGTGCTTGTTGTGGACGGGGTGGAAGGCCAACCACAACAATTTCTCGTCCAAGCCACCTCGAAATCCTCGGTCTTTCAATATTTTTTTTTAAGTGTCTAATCCTCCCAGATAAAACTATTTTTAAAGAATCGGGCCACAGTAGGGCATAAATAAGATATCAAATTTTTGTAAATCGAAAAAACAGTTTTATTTTAATTAAAGATTTAAGGTTTAATGTCTTTAAAACTATTCATCTTTTTTATGCGCATTTTCATATTTTCCTGATGTAGAATGCCGCAAATAATTCCGAGTTTATAGAAATTCAATTAATCTTTTTGTTAACTATAAACCATAGAATTTTTACGGGTGGTTCCATGGGGAAAATTATAGGCAGATTATGCCGAATATTTTGTCATTTATATTATTATATCGCGAAGGTTAGGCATTACGGAGGCAGAAGAGATTCAAGTTTTATCAAAATAAAGTTTGACCTCATTCTCATGGGTTTGAAGATTCCAACATGATATAATCATTAATTGCTATACATTTAGTCCATCTTTATTTTATGCCCTAATGTGGCCCGATTTTTTAAAAATAGTTTTATCTTCAAGAATTGGAAACTTTTTAACACAAAATAATCGAAGAACGAGGATTCTGAGGTGGCTCGGACGAGAAAATGAGGAGAATGTGGCTCGGACGAGAAATTGTTGCAGCTGGCCTTCTTCCCCTTGTTTTGGTTTGGGATAAAGTCTTCAACTTGTGACGTTTTCATGAAACAAAGTTAATTGTTTGAATTTCAGAAGCTAAATTTGTCAGATTGAAGCTTCTTGAAGTGAGTTAAAAGATATCAAGATAACAATGTTTAACATGGTACAATTTCCTAAGCTAAGAAAGAAACTTTAGTGCATATTATGTTTAATGAGAGTTTTTTTCAAACCCTTAAATTTCAAGTTTTTTTGTAACGACGACATTTATAGTTTCTAGTTCTTACATAAGAAAATGGGCACCGAAAAAATAATTTGAAAATTTTACCAAACCAAATAATTCCAGATGACCCAACTGGTCGTCTTTATTCTGTCTTTTCCACTTTAGTATTATTCACTTTGCATCATCCTATTCCTACCAAACCTTCTAGGTTTATTGGATTGAATAATAGATTGTTTAATATATCTCCTCTTCATACCAAACCTTCTAGGTTTATAGGATTTAATATTGTTAAATAACTCTCCTCTTCATACCAAACCTTCTAGGTTTATAGGATTGAATACTAGTTTATTTAATAACTCTCCCACTCCTACCAAACCTTCTAGGTTTATAAGATTTAATATTAGTTTATTTAATAACTCTCCCCATCCTACCTTATGATTTAATATTAGTTTATTTAATAACTCTCCCTATCCTACCAAACCTTGTAGGTTTGTAGGATTTAATATTAGTTTGTCAATAACTCGCATAATCCTACCTAACCTTGTAGGTTTGAAGGATTTAATATTAGATTGTTTAATAACTCTCATTATCCTACCCAACCTTCTAGATTTGTAGGATTTAATATTAGTTTGTCAATAACTCGCATAATCCTACCTAACCTTGTAGGTTTGAATGATTTAATATTAGATTGTTTGATAACTCTCCTTATCCTACCAAACCTTTTAGGTTTGTAGGATTTAATATTAGTTTGTTTAATAACTTTCCTTATCCTACCAAACCTTTTCCTTCTTTCCCCAATATTCTGATCCTATTAATGTAATCCCTGTATTAGGAATGAGTTTGTCAGGAACTGTTGTCTCTGCTCTCCTGATCTCCACGAACCCAACCTTCTCCTATTTATAGTGTCAGAAGTTCAACCCTGAGAACAATATCCGAACCTTACAATTCATCTCATAATTCATGGAACCTGTAAACTCTAAACATGGATCAGGGGCTAGGGTGTCTAATATTAAAAACTTTATTTTGACTAACTAGAAGTAACTACCAATGGTTTTTAATTTGTTATAAAGTACTAGCTAAGATAATATAAGACCAAAATAGATAACAAATTGTCAGGTTAATTATAGTTGTTAACTATCAAAATCTTTAGTTACCAGATTATTAGAATTACAAAATTGTCAGGTTACTAAAAAATGGTTATCAAATTGTCAGGTTACCAAATTGTCTGGTTACTAAACGGATGGTTATCAAATTGTTAGTTACCAAACTGTCAGGCTACCAAATTATCTGGTTACAAAATTGATAAGTTACCAAATTTTTTTTAGGTTACCAAATTGTTAGTTACCAAATTGCAGTATACTAAAATTGTAAGTTACGAAATTTTCAGGTTTATTTTCAAATTGTTACCAAATTGTAAGTTGCCAGATTATTTGTTACCCAATTGTTAAGCTTCTAAACTGTTGGTTACCAAATATTCAGTTACCAATTTTGAGGCTACAAAATTGTCAGGCTACTAAACTGGTGGTTACCAAATTGTAAGTTATCAAATTTTCAGGTTACCAAATTGTGTGTTACCAAATTGTCAGACTACTAAACTTATGGTTACCAAATTGTAAGTTACCAAATTTTTATGTTACCAAATTGTTGGTTACCAGATTATTAGTTACCAAACTGTTAGTTACCAAATTGTCAGGTTACCAAACTGTTAGTTACCAAATTATTAGTTAACACACTTTTAGTTATCAAATGTTAGTTATTAAATTGTTAGTTATCGAATTGTTAGTTCCGTACAGTCGTCTCTAAATTATTTTCCTGTGAAGGTAACTCAGTTGAAAAGTAACGATACAAAATGCTAAGGATGGCATGGTGTGGTGGCTCACGATGGTGGGGCAGGAATAGGGAGGGGGGGGGGG